CACTCTTTGAATTTCAATATGCAATACAAATAATGTAAATATGAAACTGCTATTTTATGGCTTGAATAATATGAAACACTTTGAACTTCAATGTGCAATACAAATAATGTAAAGATGATTTGAATGGGAGGACTAGTTTGTATGTGATCTCACCCCTGCATCTTTACATTATTGTTACTTTTACTACACATGAAATTCAAAGTGATGAATATTATTGAGTTTGTAGGTTAGTATTTTAAGCATGATTTGTATTTGATCTCTTATCTATATATATATATATATATGTATGTATGTATGTATGTATGTATATATATATATATATATATGTATGTATATATATGTATATATATATATATATATATATATATATATGTATATATATATATATGTGTGTGTATATATATATATATAGGGAAGAGATCAAATAAAAAGAGGTTCTCCCGTGCAAAGTGCGAACAGTTGCACTTTTTCATCACCGCCTTGCACTTTTGCGTATTTTTGTTGCACTTTTTCTCGGTGACAAAAAATTTCGTTTTAATAACGAAATTGCCACCACGTTTTTTATCAAATTTAGTTCACTTTTGGCTCATTTTGAGCCCTTAGATTTGGAAATGAATGCACGAGATTAATTTTCACTTTGCATGGGAAGACTTCTTTGCATTTGAACCCTCTCCTATATATATATATATATATATATATATATATATATATATATATATATATATATATATATATATATATATATATATATATATATATATATATATATATATATATATATATATATATAACACATTTTATATATCATAGGGACACATGAATACATACTTGGGGTATAAAATTGTTGGTCTAGATCTATTGATATAGAAAGAATTTAAAAAAAATCAAATGCATTATTTACGAACGGTTCGGTCCGGTATTTTTCGGTTCTCAAAATCTAGAACCGGTCCCGTACCCGTTTCAAACGGTACGGTTTCAGTACGGGATAAAAATCTATAGAACCGTTTAAATACCCGCTATTCGGTTCGGTACCATTACGGTTCGGTTCGGTACCGGTTCGGTTCGGGTTTTATGCCCACCCCTACTGATTGCGATATTCCTTCAACATTAAATCTATTCCGTAAACAAGCATGATGATGTTCACGTCATCTATGGCGGTACAGATGGCTCCGCCCCTTCATGAACCTGCAGTTTTTTATTTTATACTCCGTATTAATTTATTTATTGTTGTTTGTGTCAGTCTTGTGATGTTAATTTTTAGGGAAAATGGAAACTAGTAATCCAACCTTTTAGTGGTCTTCTTACAATAGTTCCATCTTTTGATTATTCAGGAATAATCTAACCTTTGCACTCCATCTTCATTCAATGGTCCCTGACCGGTTGATGACCTGATATTTGAAGTTATTTTCTTATCTTTGCAGTATATTATATCATAAATCTCACCTTATGATCACAAAATGTTTAGCAAAGATAAGAAAATAACTTGGAATAGCAGGTCAACTACCGGTCAGGGATCATTGAATGAAGATGGGGTGCAAATGTTGAATTATTCCCCAATAATCAAAAAGTGGGACTATTGTAAGAAAACCGCAAAAAGGTTGGATTATTAGTTTCCATTTTCCCTAACTTTTATTACGATTAGCAGTATTGAGACATCTATGATGGAGGCAATATTCGAAGCTGTTGTATGATTAGTGAAACCATCTGTACATTTCAATTTTATTTTTCCTAATATGTGTGATCTGAGATCGAGAAGGCCACCGAGTTAAGTTGAGTCTAGGAAAGGGTAGTATTGATTTTGAATATGATATTCAAATTAAAGCCAATTTGTACGGTACCTTGAAGGTATGGATCAATCACAAAATTTCAATTCAATAATTTAAATGTAATTAAAATATGAGACTTTGAGTTGGACCAATGAAATAGATGCTAGGTATGGTACCCATCTATTTTTCCTGGGTACCATAGCATGCACCAATAGGTTTTGAAATCTCAAAATAGGACTGCTATATTTTTCATCCCGAAATAAGAATCGTTATTGTCATTATTGAAAACTACTGACATTATGACAGTAAAAATCGTTATGTGAATACCTTGTCCTACAATTATTCGACAGCAATGATTCGTTCTAAGATGACAATAAATATTGAAATGTTACTTTGAAATGTACTATCATTACATTATCAGCAAGCTAAATTTGGAAACATCAATCAATTAAGTAGAGAATGTATATACTACGCAAATTATACAGTGGGATCGGCCCACCATGCTCATGGTGTGCCGATCCCAAAACGACACTGTTTTAGTAATTGAAAAAGAGAGCAACTCTTCTGAAAGAGAAAAGACTGGACGGCGACCTTCTTTGCCGGCAATCATCCCCTGTTCGTAGTTATTCTGCTCGGCTGCCCTTTTTGTTTCGCCTACATAGATGACAGGTTCCTTCGTGTTTGTATGCTAGGACTGCTGCTGTCTAATCTATTCACTCATCTTGGCCAACAAAAGTGAAAAACATCCCACCAATTAAATACATATATATAAAGAGAAGCAAATTTTTAAAGAGAAGCAACGAAGCAAATTTTATATGTGGTGTGTATGTATATATATTAATTAATACATGGAGTTACATTTTGAGTTTGTTTATTTTGATTCCTGAAGTTACATTTAATAATACATCATGAAATTACATCTTCTTCTGCGCAATTTATATCTTAATGTACGTGAGTTACATCTCAATATACGCGGGTTACATCTTAATGTATGCGAGTTACACCACGAAATAAACTTCAGAAATATCATTTTTATTGCCGTAATATTAAAAATAAAACATATTCACTATTTATAAAAAAAAGTAATTAAGCTATTAGGATCAATTTTTGTTGTTTACATTGAAATCAATGTTTATAATATCTCAAACAAAAAAATCATTGTTCAATTTTCCAACAAGTTACATTCTGTATACACATAAGTTACATTTGCCATCAACGCGGGTTACATTTGTAATAACATGAGTTACATTAAAACATCAACCTCTGCTATTGAAACAAAAAAATAATTTTTTCTAAATAAATATTTTTTATGACCATGATATTAAAAACAAAATATATTCCTGTTTTACCTAAAGCAATTGTGTCATTAGAATCTCATTTTTCATTGTTTACATTAAAATCAATATTTTATTTCTTATATTATGTATTTGTCAAGTTACATTTCGAACGGACTTTAGTTACATTGATAACGCGAGTTACATATCTTTACACGCGAGTTACATCATTCATGCTATTGGAACAAAAAGCAAAAAATGTCACAGCTACTGTACACGCGTGTACTGTTCACGCGGTTTTTTTAAATTGTGTAAAACTACGTCATTTTTGGGAGTGGAGTATCATGCTCAAGGTGCACCGGTTGCACGGTATACGAACCGTATATACTACGTATATGATTAAATTAGGAATATGTCCATAGATGACCTTGAATAAAATTAGGAACAGAATATGAGGTAACAAGAGCAATTGTTATTGCCGACAAACAGGAATATGTCCATAGATGACCTTCAATTAAAACGTAAACATAATTACCGACAAATTACTGTTTCAATAACAAGAGCAATTGTTATTGCCGCTCTGAAACAAATTACTTTGGAAATTTTTCTCCGCAACTTTTTCTGGCAAAAATTAATAAACAAAAAAATGGAGAGAATTTTTTGCGACTTTCCTGACCACGCAAGGTGGCATTTTCCAAATTGGCAGGAATTTTTGGCAGAAATTTCTCTAGATTGACATGAATTTTAATAAACATATGTCAAATCCATGCCAAAAATGTTTTGCCATGAACTATTTGACACCAAATCATCGCTCAATGCGTACACCTGCGCTTCAATGCGTTTTAACATGTAATTACTTTATTCCTATTTCGTCAACTCATTATCAACTACTCCCTTCGTCCCGCTAACGATGAGACAAGAGGGAGTGACACACAAATTAATAAAAGGTGGTTTATGTGGTTGATATTGAATTGATAGAGTAAGAATAAAGTAAGAATGATTTAGAACCACACAAACTTTACCAAATTTGGTATGAGACAATCTTAGTGGGACGGACCGATAAGGTAAAATGGGATAATCATAGCGGGACAGAGGTAGTACATAATAAAGCACGGGTGCAGAGGCGGATCTGCCTTAGGGCCAGGGAGGGCCCAGGCCCAATCTAAAAAAAATACTATCTCTGTCCCATTAGAAAGTTCTCGTCCACTATTCACATGGTCAACTTAAATCAGTTTTAATTTTTTACTTTATAAATCAAATTTTTATCAAATCTACATTTTTTTTATCAGGCTTTGTAGCGGTTTTAATGTGATTTCTGAATATGTTAATTTTATTTACTAAAAATAATCAGAGTGTGAACAAATATTAAGTTGCTTTATCATCAATCAAACATCGTAAACCATCAACGAGAACCTTCTAGCGGGACGGAGGGAGTAGTAACAATCAAAATATGAAAAATAGTTGGTTGGCTGAGGCGGAATCGTAGTAATGCATGGAGTTGCAAGTCAGGAGTTCAATCCCCATGAACATCAATTATTTTATTACTTTTTCAGTTGGGGGAGCTATTTTAAAAAATTTAATTTCATTTCCACAATCTCTTTTCCCACAATTTGTATAAGCTTAACACCAATCTCAATTGCATCAAAATTTAATTAGTTTAATTGGATTGGTATGTGAAAATTAGTTCAATTATTTTACATAGAGTATACAATTCTAATTTTTATATTCATGTTTACATCTAATTTGATAATATCAATCTATGAAAACCCCTAAAATATAGTTTTTTTGCAAAGTTTCTAATCTACGTACGTACATGTGACCGCCTCTTTTGGGAGTGTCACACTAATAATACCATCAAATCGCAAGTTATTTGGCAACCCCTAAAAATAGTTGTAAATTTGAGATCTTCTTTCTTAACAAAAATTCCTATTCTTGTAATAGTTATTTTAATCTTTAACATTTTTGTTGCAACATATGTTATTTTATACCTGAAAATAAACTTAATTAGTTAAATTCATAGTACTTTACTACATTTTGACATTTTTTGTAATATACACTATTTAATTAAATTTTGGCCCACCCTCAACGACAATGCTAGATCCGGCCCTGGACGGGTGTAGTGTTATTTTCTTATAATTTTGGAATTTTCTCTTTGTTCTGATAATGAATTTACTGAACAACCTGTTGTCTGGGCTGGGTCAATCCTTCCGTGGGCCGTGATGATGTTAATCCCGCCCTTCTCCGGCTCACTTGGTCTCGGAGCGATTAAGATGTCGCAGTCCTGGAAGAATGCCGCCGAGTTACCGAATATGAAATCAATGTTTCCTTGGATGCGACATGATTTATAGTATTGCCGCATCGATTTAGCGTACAGGGTGTCTTGGTTTCCCCTGAATTCGCAGGTTTCCACCACTGTCCGATCGCCGTCGGAGCGGAACGCAACCGCCTGAGACCCAATTCCAGTGTTCTCAAACGTGATATTGCTGGCCATGAATCCGTCACCAAGAACACCGACGGTGGCGGACTGGTAGGTCGTCATTCCGGGTTGACCCACATTAAGGGACCCTGTAATGATAGTTTTGCCCATGCCTTCACCTAAGAAGACGACGTTCAGCTTTTTCATCGATACCCTTACCTTCTCCTTGTACATTCCGGCCTTTATTCATATCACAAAACGCTGCCCGGCGTTCATATCCGGCGCGGCGTAAACTGCCGCATGAACCGTCGCGTAATCGCATCCGCCGCCGCGGCCGGTCTTGCAAACCGTCACGTTCGGCTTCAGGCCCTTGGGAACTCCGCCGTTTTGAAAGTCAAAATCAGACCCAGATCCATCCACTGGGTCCCAGTACCCGTCCCTCTCTGTCTTGATGGGGCCCCACGATGCCACGTCGTCCCCATGCACGTCGTAATTACCCAGCATGCTTAGGGCGGTTCTGGTCAACCCCATTATGGTGTCGTTGATCAATGCCATGGTATTGACCACCACCGCCGTGTCGTTGACTTTTTTCAAGGCGGACCAGCTGTCGTACTGGTAGCCTAGGGCGGCGCTCAGCCATGCACGGCCGTCCTTTATTTTACGGCCGCGTAATCCGTCGTGATCCGTCAACGCGAGCCGGTACCTCGACAATCTGAGTACCTCAACGCAAATCCTAGCTGCCGTCGTGAGGTTACTATTCGACGAGGAGCCGGAGAGGATGGCGCCCACCATCGATTCGGCGGTGTCGAGATGCCGGAAAGTGATGTTTAAAACGGCATGAATAACATGGAGGCTGTTTGCGTCCTCCGGTATCCAGAGTCCGGATTCGGTCAACGCACGTTGGCATGATGGAGGATCATGTGAGGCGGCGCAGGCCGCAACGGTGACGGGCGGCGGGGTTGCTGATTGTTCTGGCGAAAAGCTTGCGCCGGCCGAGCAAGAGGCGGCCAAGAGAATGAGGATCACCAAGAGCTGCGCGATTAATACAAGGCATGAGGTCATATCGTTTTTATTAGTCTTATTTTGAGCAATTGTTTTTTGATCGATTGGAAGGGAGGTTTGAATGGCGCACACAAAGCTATTATACGGTTGATTACACATTTTCCTACTTAAATGACTTGCATGGCAATGGTATGTAAGCAAAAAAAACAGTGAAAATAAAATTGTGACAACTCCGGTACCTTTCTAAAAAATGGGGTACCGTATTTATCATTCATTTGATTAGACCACATCACATTATCATTTTTAATTTAGATTTAAATAATTCAACTGCTACGTTCTCATTGGTCCATTTAGACAAAGGTATGATACCTTATGGGTACCATAGAATCTACCAAATAAAATATGTACATCTAGTAAAAGTTTTAAGAGATAATTCTCTAAATAGGAGTAAAATATCGAGAAATTGTAAAAATAGCAAAACAGATTTCTAAAAATTCTAAAAAAGGAGTATTTTTCGGAGAAAAATATTTGAATATTACTAAAAGATGTGTAGTGTCCCATGGTATGACTAGAAAACAATATTAAATGTTATATGACTACAAATGTATGTATGCCCATAGAATTTCACATAAAAAGACTACAATGCCCTCAATTACTTGTATATGAAGACTTGAAACTCAAATGGATATTAATTTAATTTGCAATTTTGCTATAGGTACCCTATCTTTACCCAATTTTTACCCCATATAAAAGTCCTTCCAAAACAATTACCCACTCCCCTTAACTCCCTTCCTCACATGCGTCCAACCTCCCCCCTCACCTCCATTTCCAAATCTCCCTCCCCTCCCACCTTTTCCCTTCCCTAGCAAGTTTCGTAAAACTCCAAACTCATCCGCCACAGCCGTCATCCTCACCCCCACCAACCAATAGAACCCCACGAATCAACCGCCTTCCTCACCCTCACAAACCAACCGAACCGTCGTCCATCCTCACCCTTAGACATAATTAATGCCCCTATAGTGTTCACTTTGTGGGTCCCAAGGTCATTGAAATAATACGTTTTCTAGCTCCAACTACATTAATTTGCTCAGTACAGACACACGTACTATTTGGGTTTAGTAGATCACAATTAAACATGAGTGTGAAAAAAAAACTTTTTTATTATTTAAAGTCGTATAAGCTTTTTATTTTAATTTCATTTTTCACAAAAATAATATCAAAATTTATAACTTTTTATTATCATCAATATTGCACATATAAAAATTTAAAAAATGTGAAGTTTCAATGGTCGGAGCTTTTAGGCCCAATTTTTTTCTGAAGAAACTGAAGTACTAAATTTAAGATCTTATGATTAAAATAGTTTTTTATATCTTTCAGTTATCTATCTATTAAAAAAGCAGGAGAAATTTGGTCCATTTTTTCCCATCCAAAAATGTCACAATTAATAATAAAAGTGGGTCCAATCAAGAGCCTTCATTTTTTAACCGTACAAGGCGTGCATAAGATTAAGATCATTTTTTAATGATAAAAAAGAGGAGGTTACGATTGATGTTGTGAGGCAGTGTTTCAAGAATATTCAGGGATTCAGATAGCTGAAAACCAATTGACAATCTAAATTAAGGTTAAGTAAAATTACAATTTAAACTATTGAGATTATTGAAAATTCGATGGGTTAGCCATACCATGTAATTTGAAAATTTTAAAAAGAAATCATTAAACAGTTAAAGTATGGTATGAAATAAATTTAAAAAAGGTTATTTAGATTATTACTTATCTTATCATTCAAAAAATTATAACCCAAGTAATTCACCAACAATTATGATTAATGAAAATTCGAATGAGTTGAAATGCATGTAGTAACTATTTAAAATTTGAAAATGAATCACCTAAAAAATAGGATATTTGTATTTAGATTGGTTTTCGTGTCAGAAGAAAATAGACAAGACCAGGTTGAGTCAGTACAAATCATGTCAGTACAGATCAAACTAGGGGTGGATCGGAACCGGTTCCAAGTCGGGTCTTAGGCGGTACTTGTTCGCTATCGGACTCTCACCTATATTTAGCCTTGGACGGAATTCACCACCCGATTTGGGCTGCATTCCCAAACAACACGACTCTTAGACAACGCCTTGTGGTGCGGCAGGGTCCGGGCACAACGGGGCTCTCACCCTCTCTGGCGCCCATTTCCAGGGGACTTGGGCCCGGTCCGCCGCTGAGGACACTTCTCCAGACTACAATTCGAACGGCGTGGCCATCTGATTCTAAGGTTGGGCTCTTCCCGGTTCACTCGCCGTTACTAAGGGCTCTTCCCGGTTCGCCCGGACCCGGTCCATCCCTAGATCAAACCAATGAGTACAGACCAAACTATATCAAATTACGTACACTTGATCAAACAAGAGAATTTAGTCTAATTAAAAACATCCTTATTTTGAAATTAGTGTGCGGATAACATAAAAATGAACCAGAGTATAAAAACGTTTCAAAACGTGAAAATCAATGTTCTTTATGTTTGTTTGTTCCTCCCTCCATTCTATTAAACTTAATCAAATTTCATTACCAAGACATTCAAAAACAATTTTTTCCTTTACCTTTAAGTTAAAAATATTGTGGTTACAAAATCAAGACTAAATTTATGTTTTAATATTGTAACTTTTGAATAGTTTCTGACAACAATTAAACTTGCAATATTGTATGACGTAGAGTGTTGGATCATAAAACAATGTCACATCTGAAAGATAAAGATGACAAAAGATGTGCATGTTGTGTTCAGTGTACGGATATAGTAGAGATGATCGCTTGAAGAATGAGATAATGAGACATAACAGGGGATATTTGCAATTTTAGTCCTGTAACTTTCAGCTGTTATCGTTATTGGTCCTATAACTTTAACCACTTGCAAATTTGGTCCTGTAACTAATAAATCTTTGCGATTCAAGGACTTTACCACCGGAAAGTACACTTTCCGGCAGAAAAATCCGACACAGGTGATATCTTTTGCGGTATACTATCGCCGGAAAGTGTACTTTTCCGGGAAAAAGTCCTTAAATTACAAATATTAATTAGTTACAGGACCAAATTTGCAAGTGACTAAAGTTACAGGACCAATAATGAAAACGTCTGAAAATTACGGGACGAAAATTGCAAATTTCCTGACATAACAGTATGATTGTTGTTCTAAAATATGCATTCACATTTGAGTAGTCTTCTATTTTGCTACAAAATTTAACTTTTAGTACAATAATAAGTATTTTGTAGAATTTATATTTCATTTCTTTATATGTATTACTCCATTTTATAATATTTGGTTTGTACCCTAAGTTATACTGTCTATATTTTTCATAAATTGTTGACGATATGCTTTGATTCTTCCCAATTTTTTTTAATCTTTGGATATGCAATATCCTTTACTGTTTTTTTAATCTTTGGATATGCAATATCCTTTACTACTTTTATTATGTTTATGGATTCTATGCTAGGAACCAGTGATTGTTCCCCCTCACTCGGCGTTGTTCCATGATTAGTGCGTGGAACCCAGACCTGCTTGGATTCTATTTTATATTGGTTTAAGAGAAATTTATTATAATAAAGATTCCTTTCTAAGGTCTTTTGCCGAGAGTGACATTGATACCACAAATGACCGACTTTGTCACAGTGCCCGCAAATTCGGCTATCATACGTATCACTGTATTTGATTTTCCAAGTTTTATAAGGACCTTTGTTCCTTTTATAAGATTCTCAGTTAGGCGTTTGTCCATAACACGTTTTGTGCTTTAGAACCAATTTATCGAACCAGGTTGATCCAATTCTAGATTGACTTGAGAATGGCCTAGACTGGTTTGTCCTCTAGTTCTGTTATCATTAAAGGACCGGTTCTCAAAATTTGGTTTTTTATTTATTTGGGCTTCCTTTGGAACATTTCTAAGACCAACAGCCTCGTTTCCCTTTTTCTTGTACCGAGAGGGTTCAGTTCTAGAATGAGGTCTAGACCTAGTCCTGTTCTTGGTACTATACGGCTGATATTCCGGTTTATTTTTGAAATCTTGTCTCTCGTCCTCAAGGCGATTAAGGTGTTCAATCAATACACCAATGTTCGGAATTTTTGAAAGAAGTTTCTCACTATGATTCACTTGTTGGTTTACGCTATCGAGCTTTAAAGAGCAAATAATATTATCTTGTTCTAAAACCACTTCACTGTAGTTAAGCTTTTCATCTATTAACTCTCCCACTTTAGTTTCAAGCGTAAGCTTTGCTCGTGTAGTTTCCTTGAGTTTAGATTCAAGCTCAGTGATTCATGATTTTAGGTACTCATTTTTGGAAAGGATTTGGTTAAGCTCGATAATATAGTTAGTCTTTTGAAAACTTTCCGAACTTTGGTCTTAGGTAAGGAATCGAATTTAGACAAAAGGTTTTCTAAATTTATCTCAAAGTTTTCTTGGTTGGATTCCTCGTCGGAATTAGCCATAAGACATAAGCCCGCGTGATTAGAATTTTTCTCTTCTTCTTCCTCATCTTCATGTGATGAGTCTCCCCAAGCAGCCATCGTTGCCTTCTTGAGTTCTCTATTGAATCCTTTGTCTTCACTGGACCTCCTGTGGGAACTGGTCTTGTTTTTGTCATAGGTTCTGTCTTTTTTCTTTTGGGGAAATCTTTTGCCATGTGCTCAAAGGACCCACAAAGAAAACAACCTTGATTATTAGAAGATTGAAAACCCTTTTTACCTTGCTTATTCCGGTTGCCTTTGAATCTCCGATACATCTTCCCGAATTGTTTGGCAAACATGCTCATCTCGTCTTCCGATTCACTTTCGGATTCCTCTTCTTCCTCCCGAGCCTTGAGAGCTATTCCTCGCTCCTTCCTCACATTCTCGGCATCTTGTTCCTCTTGTAGGCCTAACTCATATGTCATGAGTGAGTCGGTCAAGTCTTCGAGTGTCATAATGGTCAGATCTTTGGCTTCCTCAATTGCCGTTGTTTTTGGCTTCCATGTAGAGGGTAAACTTCTCATAACTTTTCTTACTTGATCCTCTATAGAAATATCTTTTCCATGTG